GAAGCTGCTCTTCCACTGGGCACCACGGGCCATGATGGTCTGTACCCACAGAGGGCTGTCTGTGAAGCTGCTCTTCCACTGGGCACCACGGGCCATGATGGTCTGTACCCACAGAGGGCTGTCTGTGAAGCTGCTCTTCCACTGGGCACCACGGGCCATGATGGTCTGTACCCACAGAGGGCTATCTGTGAAGCTGCTCTTCCACTGGGCACCACGGGCCATGATGGTCTGTACCCACAGAGGGCTGTCTGTGAAGCTGCTCTTCCACTGGGCACCACGGGCCATGATGGTCTGTACCCACAGAGGGCTGTCTGTGAAGCTGCTCTTCCACTGGGCACCACGGGCCATGATGGTCTGTACCCACAGAGGGCTGTCTGTGAAGCTGCTCTTCCACTGGGCACCACGGGCCATGATGGTCTGTACCCACAGAGGGCTGTCTGTGAAGCTGCTCTTCCACTGGGCACCACGGGCCATGATGGTTACACACAAACACACACCACTCCACTGAAGATACCAGCCAGCCCCACTAGAACAGAACAGAACAGATGATATGGACGCTGGCATACTAAGGCCTACATATTGAAGACAGACAATACATCATAAGCGGTTGATAGCGTTCATTATGTGTTGCCCTGCAGTTACTTGCTATACAGGTTATTTAGTGAACATGTCATTACGTGGAGAAAAATGCACAACTGAAAGTTGCCTCGAGGCTCAAACTGGCGGTTCAACAAGTTCAACGTTGCACAGAAAGAGATACGTTTTCAGTAGTGCTCTGTGGTTCAGGAACATAGTGTGAGAAGTCAATGTATCCTGAAAGGCTGCGGCTTTCTGGATCAGCTCCAGGGGTTTGATGGCACAAGTGGGGAGCCCAGCCAACAGAGTTGCAGTAGTCTAGACAGGAAATGACAAGAGCCTGGATTAGGACCTGTGCCGCTTCCTGTGTGAGGTAGGGTCGTACTCTACAGATGTTGTAGCGCATGAACCTGCAGGAGCGAGTCACTGCTTTGATATTTGCAGAGAACGACAGGGTGTTGTCCAGGGTCATGCCAAGGTTCTTTGCACTCTAGGAGGGGGATACCATGGAGTTGTCAACCGTGATGGAGAGGTCTTGGAGCGTGCAGCCCTTTCCCGGGAGGAAGAGCAGCTCTGTCTTGTCGAAGGTTGAGCTTGAGGTGGTGGGCCGACATCCAATCTGAGATATCTGCCAGGCACGCAGAGATGCATGTTGCCACCTGGGTGTTAAAAGGGAGTAAGGAGAAAAGTAGTTGAGTGTCATCCGCATAGCAATGATAGGAGAGACCATCTGAGGAGATGACGGAGCCGTGTAGAGAAAAGAGGAGGGGGCCTAGAACCGAGCCCTGGGGGACACCGGTAGCGAGAGTACGTGGTGCAGACACAGATCCTCTCCACGTCACCTGGTAGGAGCGGCCTGCCAGGTAGGAGGCAATCCAGGAGTGTCCATAGCCTGAGACATCCAACCCTGAGAGGGTGGAGAGGAGGATCTGATAGTTCACGGTGCACTCACCATTATTGGGCTACAAATGGTCCACTATTCCCTATATAGTGCATTACTTTTGACCAGGACCCATAAGGCTCTGGTCAAAAGTAGTAGTGCACTATATAGGGAATAGGGTGGCATTTGGGACTCAGCCTCTGTGTTGACGGTACATAGCCTACCTACTTCATACAGCTGGTTCCACACCATGCTTCTCCCAAGGTCGTCTATCACCACGTCTAGCCAGGCCCCAAACCTGGAGGTCTGCCCAAGCCCCCCGAGCTAGCCGTCCATCCAGCCCTGGACAACATAGGAACTACAGATGTTAATGTGAAGCCTATGGTACAAAAAAACACAGAAACTGTGGGCTACTGTTCAATAGGCATAACTATACACAGGTGCAACTGGAAGTTATCGTAATGGGATTTAACTTGGAATTGAGGAGTCTGTCATAAAGTGTAAACTGATGTGGCAAATGGAATATGCATGCAAACTTTGGACTACTTTTAAATAGGTATATCACAATCATAATTTTTTGCATTTATTTTATGTTTAAACATGGGTTTGAAGATGATTCACTTGTTATTATTTACCATCTAGAATGATAGAGATTGAGTAGGTAGACAGAAACACGGGTGGATTGTTGAAGGCATTCCAAGCAGAAAGTATAAGTACTAGGCGTATATAACCTGTAACCAGAATGAAAAATGAAGATGTGAGAGAAAAATCAAGAATACTGTTACAAATTAGTCCTCCTTTACAGTAAATTGTACAACTAATAATACATTATTATACATTATTTAATGGAGCTTATTGCTTCCTATACATTACACTAGCCATTGGTCTCTGGACGAATGACAGTAGAACACCTGCCCATTGCTACCAAACAACCACAAAAAGTATTTCTCTCACCTATGATGTTGGGCCAATAAACCAAAACCTCTTGTCCCATATTCAGTCAGTTACTACTGGCTGTCACCAAGGTAATCTGAATTGTCGGCCTGTCATTGTGGCTCCAGATCAGACAGCGCGCTCCCGCCTCATTCGGAACAAAGATGATGCAACTGTTCAGCGACCTCTAGCCACCAAAAGCGAAAATACCTCGAAATATATTCGACATTTATTTATGAACTCATATTACAGTATATACGGTAATAGAATCCCGAATCCGTTGTATCCGGATGTACACTTGATGATGATCACTCATTATGGCAGTCACCTAGGGGTTAGCTGTCTAATGGTGAATACAAGACAACTGAGAACTCGGGAAAAGAACGAGGTGAAATCATGACATTAGTGATCTTCAGGTCGGAAAGTCGGAGCTCTAGAAAGCTGTAAGAGTTTCAATTTTGATGACCGTTCAAAACGATTTTTCCCAGTCGTACCGCGTTTTTTTTTCGAGTTGCCAGTTGTCTTGAACGCAAGTCGGAGATTTCCGAGTTTCGATTTCCCTGTTGTTTTGAACGCAGCATCACTGGTCGAATTGCTCTTCCAATGAGGTCACAGGGAACTCTCTGACGTAGAAACATAAATTGTTCCTCTACCACGCTGGCGACAGGTTTCCACTAGATATCACAGCCACAAAGTCAAAACTGGCTATACAGTAATAATTAACGAAATCAAAAATGTAAGGGTTGGGCATAAGGTTAGCAGTGTGGTTAAGGTTAGGTTGAAATCACATTTTAACTAAATAAATTGTAGATATGTTTTCCCTGTAAATATATAACCCCTATAGACGGGGTTTATGACTTTGTGGCTGTGGTAACTAGTGTGGCTACCCGACATGTCCGCCAGGTATTCGGTAGCTACGATTGTACAGGTGCAACCCAAGACGTTAATTGGACTTTCGATTGGACTTTGAATTGAGGATTTGGTCATAGAACTATGAACTGATAGTCAAGTGGAACACCACACACACACACGTGTAGAATAACTGTATAGTATAAAAACTGGGTAGCCTACTGCATACTTCATGTGTATCCACAAGGGGGAGCCAGAGACTAATTAAAGTATCAAAGCCAATGTATGTATGCGATTTATCAGACGGAAGAGGAAGCGAAACACCCCACTCGCTGTTTTTTTCTGATTCAATGAAAGTCAATGAACTCAGTTGACCAGACCCAGCTGCTATTGCATTGGTGTCTATGGGAGTAGGCCGGAACTGACCTTTTCTCTTTTTACAATGGTAAATGGCCTGAGTGACCTCTTCATTTATCCACCATCTTTGGTGTGTTCAGAAAGATGCAGAGGATCTAAACAAACAATGGCTGCCGTTGGCCTAGTGCTTTACAGCCAGACGTTAATTCTACATAGGTTTTCAAGGTATATCAGACCCATATCCATCCATAGAGAAGACCTGTCGGCTCTGCGGACAAAATCTGCGCGTCAAGGGGACATTACAGGCAACCCAAATAATATTTGACAAGCCCAAGGCCTCAAAAGAAAAAAAGTTATGCGACAGATTCTTTGCCACCGGTTTAATGCTAACTGATGCGCCAGGGGTGAAGTCGGGCAGGATTTGTGCTAAGTGCTATCGACAATTCCTCAGGATAGAGGAATCTGTAAACGTTTTAAAGAAATGGCAATCAGAGCAACATGCACCCGGGACGAGCGAGAAGAGGAAGCATGAACGGGAGCCGAGTCCATCTGAAACAGACAGGGGAGTCAAGAAGACAACACCTGCTCCCTGAAACCATAGTTGTCCCTCAACCGATCAGTGCAGGCGGTATCTGATGGTACATAGGCTGCGTTTACACAGGCAGCCCAATTCTGATATTTTTCTTCTTCTTCAATATTTGGTCTTTTGACTAATCATATCAGCTCTGAAAAATATCTGATGTGAAAATATCAGGGTTGTATTCATTACGTCTCGCAACGGAAATAGTTTACCGCAAACGGAATGAAACGGGGAGGGACCTACCTGAATATGTCCAATAGAAACTTGTTTTTGTTGCAAAGCGTTTTGCTTTTGGAGTAAACTGTTTGTTGCAAAACATTTTGCAACACGTTTTGTAACAGTCGGCGTAAAAAAACAATTAGTGGAAAAAATATCAGAATTGGGGAGCGTTCCTCTGCCCAGGCATTGCTGACACATGCCAGATCTTACAACGTTTTTTCTACAAAGTATTTTACGTATCATAGGTTATAGCAATCTGTCAGTCGATGACCTGACACGCAACCATTGGTTGATGCATGCAACGTCTGAGCAGGGGATCGTGACCTTGGGCAGCCATAGATGTTGCCTGGTTACCCATCCTCTCCAGCCAAACGCCACGCCCGCTAACGTTTCTTATCCACGATGTGATGAATGGAGCGATCGATAGATCAGCTGAATTTAATTCAGGATTAGTCAGGTTAGCCTTGACAAATGAGACCATGTGTCAAGAAATTAGAAAGCAGATGACACAGAAAATAGAAGCAGAGGTCAAGGCATATGCAAGACCCTTAAATTATTTGACTTCTGCTGAACCTTGCAATCTTGAGTAGTACCTCGTTGGAGAATATGAAGGCTTTTTCATATGAAGCATTGGATGATGAGTTGTCCAGGAAGACACCATGGCTTTATACCACCATCAATACTGCAACAGGTGGTTCCACCGTCCACAACTGTGTGGCTGCCTCTGTGGCCCTGAGAGGTAGAAACCCCAGGCTTTCTGCACTGGCCTATGTCATCAACTCAACACTGACCCAAGGGGGGGTTAACAACCACACACAGCAATGTCCTCAATAAGCAGAAAGAGATGAAGACAGCTGGGTACAACAACATCATCAACATTAGATGCTGGAGGGAGGACTGTGAGCTGTTCTTCCAACATAGTGCCAGCGGTGAAGTCTTCCCCCGACCCCCCTCCTACTGAATCAATGGAGGAGACTGGAAGACAGGAGGAAGAGGAGGACGGGGGACCAGTGGAGGATGAGTTTGAAATAGAGCTGGACTGGGGTCAACTGGAGGAAGAGGGTGAAGGAGAGGAGGAAGAGTGGGGTCCAATGTCAGAAGAGACAGAACGAGAGGAGGACAGAGGATCAACAGAGAGGAGGACAGAGGATCAACAGAGAGGAGGACATAGGATCCACAGAGAGGAGGACAGAGGATCCACAGAGAGGAGGACAGAGGATCCACAGAGAGGAGGACAGAGGATCCACAGAGAGGAGGACAGAGGATCCACAGTGCAGGGAGAGACAGAGGATCCACAGAGAGGAGGACAGAGGATCCACAGAGAGGAGGACAGAGGATCCACAGAGAGGAGGACAGAGGATCCACAGAGAGGAGGACAGAGGATCCACAGAGAGGAGGACAGAGGATCCACAGAGAGGAGGACAGAGGATCCACAGAGAGGAGGACAGAGGATCAACAGAGAGGAGGACAGAGGATCAACAGAGAGGAGGACAGAGGATCCACAGAGAGGAAGACAGAGGATCCACAGAGAGGAGGACAGAGGATCCACAGAGAGGAGGACAGAGGATCAACAGAGAGGAGGACAGAGGATCCACAGAGAGGAGGACAGAGGATCAACAGAGGAGGACAGAGGATCCACAGAGAGGAGGACAGAGGATCCACAGAGAGGAGGACAGAGGATCCACAGTGCAGGGAGAGACAGAGGATCCACAGAGAGGAGGACAGAGGATCCACAGTGCAGGGAGAGACAGAGGATCCACAGAGAGGAGGACAGAGGATCCACAGTGCAGGGAGAGACAGGAAGAGAAGAAGAGGGGTGTAAATCATCAGTGCTAGAAGGAAATGACAGACAGGAAGAGGACTCATTCAGAGATTCAGAGACCGAACACTTTGGATTAAACCTCACCTGTGGATTTAAATAAGTAGCCTAACACAGGGTCTGTAGATTACAGATCCAGGCCTAGGCTACATCTCTGAACAACAAGGGACTAATCATATTATGTGTCCCAAATTGCACCCCATTCCCTATATAGTGCACTACTTTTGACCTGGGCCAATAGGGCTCTATGTAGGGAATAGGGTGCCATTTGGGACACAATCATACCGTGAAATGACTCCTGTTGAGGGGGCCAACGTGTGAGGTATACTGATCCTGTTGTGTGTACAGTGTGTTTACAACGGTATTAAAGAGACCAGTCCCAATGGATGTTGAATTCAGACTTTATTGTCCCAGCAGGGAAATTCATTGTGCAGCTAAGAGTGCAAAGCTACTCAACAAGAACTTCCACTTTTGTCATTGTGCGCTTCCCAAAATGGCACCCTATTACCTATATAGTGCACTACTTACCCCATAGGGCTCTGGTCAAAAGTAGTGCATTATATAGGGAATAGTGTGCCATTTGGGATGCACCCATTGAGTGCTAATAGTCCCTGGGCCAAGATGACCCAGCCAATAAACCACTGTTATTATTAAACCTATTTTTTTTAATGAATAAAAATAGTATTTCCTGAAATATTACACAACTCATTGTTACTTCTTACAGTGTATTTACATCATTGGCAGTAGTGCCATAAGAACATGTATAATTAACAGAATATCTACTACAAATGATTTGAAATGATCATGAGCTTGCCTGAGATAGTAGACGTATATTGTTTACTTTATCACCAATCCAGATATCATATGTACAAGTATATCAGTTTAGATACAGCATCATCTCAAAGCTGACTGGAGTTGTCAATGTCTAGATGTACTAAATTCAGTACTGGTTGATTCTTTTTGAGTCGTGGCTGTCCATCCCTCCTGTTTCCAGGAGTCTTGGGTTCCCCACATCCACGTAATCCTATAAAGAGATGTGCATTCAATAAAAGAAGCTCTACGCAAGTCATTATGTACAGTTGAAGTCGGAAGTTTACATACACCTTAGCCAAATACATTTAAACTCAGTGTTTCACAATTCCTGACATTTAATCCAAGTAAAAATTCCCTGTTTTAGGTCAGTTAGGATCACCACTTTATTTTAAGATTGTGAAATGTCAGAATAATATTAGAGAGAATGATTTATTTCAGCTTTTATTTCTAACATCACATTCCCAGTGGGTCAGAAGTTTACATACACTCAATTAGTATTTGGTAGCATTGCCTTTAAATTGTTTAATTTGGGTCAAACGTTTCGGGTAGCCTTCCACAAGCTTCCCACAATAAATTGGGTGAATTTTGGCCCATTCCTCCTGACAGAGCTGGTGTAACTGAGTCAGATTTGTATGCCTCCTTGCTCACACACGCCTTTTCAGTTCTGCCCACAAATGTTCTATAGGATTGAGGTCAGGGCTTTGCGATGGCCACTCCAATACCTTGACTTTGTTGTCCTTAAGCCCTTTTGCCACAACTTTGGAAGTATGCTTGGGGTCATTGTCCATTTGGAAGACCCATTTGCGACCAAGCTTTAACTTCCTGATTGATGTCTTGAGATGTAGCTTCAATATATCCACATAATTTTCCTTCCTCATGATGCCATCTATTTTGTGAAGTGCACCAGTCCCTCCTGCAGCAAAGCACCCCCACAGCATGATGCTGCCACCCCCGTGCTTCACGGTTGGGATGGTGTACTTCGGCTTACAAGCACCCCCTTTTTCCTCCAAACATAACGATGGTCATTATGGCCAAACAGTTCTATTTTTGTTTCATCAGACCAGAGGACATTTCTTCAAAAAGTACGATCTTTGTCCCCATGTGCAGTTGCAAACCGTAGTCTGGCTTTTTTATGGCGGTTTTGGAGCAGTGGCTTCTTCCTTGCTGAGCGGCCTTTCAGGTTATGTCGATATAGGACTAGTTTTACTGTGGATATAGATACTTTTGTACCTGTTTACTCCAGCATCTTCACAAGGTCCTTTGCTGTTGTTCTGGGATTGATTTGCACTTTTTGCACCAAAGTACGTTCAACTCTAGGAGACAGAACACGTCTCCTTCCTGAGCGGTATGACGGCTGCGTGGTCCCATGGTGTTTATACTTGCGTACTATAGTTTTTTTTTCAAATGAACGTGGTACCTTCAGGCTTTTAGAAATTGCTCCCAAGGATGAACCAGACTTGTGGAGGTCTACAATTTTCTTTCTGAGGTCTTGGCTGATTTCTTTTGATTTTCCCATGATGTCAAGCAAAGAGGCACTGAGTTTGAAGGTAGGCCTTGAAATACATCCACACTTACACCTCCAATTGACTCAAATGATGTCAATTAGCCTATCAGAAGCGTCTAAAGCCATGACATCATTTTCTGGAATTTTCCAAGCTGTTTAAAAGGCACAGTCAACTTAGTGTATGTAAACTTCTGACCCACTGGAATTGTGATACAGTGAATTATAAGTGAAATAATCTGTCTGTAAACAATTGTTGAAAAAAGTACTTGTGTCATGCACAAAGTAGATGTCCTAACCAACTTGCCAAAACTATAGTTTGTTAACAAGAAATGTGTGGAGTGGTTGAAAAACGAGTTTGAATGACTCCAACCTAAGTGTATGTAAACTTCCGACTTCAACTGTATCTAGATCATGCTACTACTGTGGGGTCTCCTACTGTGGGGCCTCTACTGTGGGGTCTTCTACTGTGGGGGCCTCTACTGTGGGGTCTCCTACTGTGGGGTCTCCTACTGTGGGGTCTTCTACTGTGGGGTCTTCTACTGTGGGGTCCCTCCTACTTGGGCCTCTACTGTGGGTCTCCTACTGTGGGCTCTTGTGGGGTCTTCCACTGTGTGGGCCAGTCTACTGTGGGGTCTCCTACTGTGGGGTCTCCTACTGTGGGTCATCCTACTAGGGGTCTCTACTGTGGTCTCTACTGTGGGGCTCTACTGTGGGCTCACTGTGTGGGGTCACTTCCCACTGTGGGTCATGCCTACTGTGGGCCTACTGTGGGTCTCCTCTGTGGGTCTCTACTGTGGGGCTCTACTGTGGGTCTCTATGTGGGCTCACTGTGGGGCTCTAACTGTGGTCACTCTATTCTGTTGGCCTCACTGTGGGGTCTCCTACTGTGGGGTCTTCTACTGTGGGGCCTCTACTGTGGGGTCTCCTACTGTGGGTCTCCTACTGTGGGCACTCTACTGTGGGCTCTACTGTGGGGTCCCTACTGTGGGGTCTTCTACTGTGGGGCCCTACTTGGCTCCTACTGTGGGGTCTCCTACTGTGGGGTCTCTACTGTGGGGCCTCTACTGTGGGCTCTACTGTGGGGCTCCTACTGTGGGGCCTCTACTGTGGGGCCTCCTACTGTGGGGCCTCCTACTGTGGGGCCTCTACTGTGGGGCCTCTACTGTGGGGCTCTACTGTGGGGCTCCTACTGTGGGGTCTCACTACTGTGGGGCCTCCTACTGTGGGGTCCTCTACTGTGGGGTCTCCTACTGTGGGGCCTCTACTGTGGGGTCTCTACTGTGGGGCTCTACTGTGGGGTCTCCTACTGTGGGGTCTCTACTGTGGGGCTCTACTGTGGGGTCTCCTACTGTGGGGTCTCTACTGTGGGGTCTCTACTGTGGGCCTCCTACTGTGGGGCCTCCTACTGTGGGGCCTCTACTGTGGGGCCTCCTACTGTGGGGCCTCTACTGTGGGGTCCTCCTACTGTGGGGCTCTACTGTGGGGCCTCTACTGTGGGGTCTCTCTACTGTGGGGTCTCCTACTGTGGGGCCTCTACTGTGGGGCCTCTACTGTGGGGCCTCTACTGTGGGGTCTTCTACTGTGGGGCCTCTACTGTGGGGTCTCCTACTGTGGGGTCTCCTACTGTGGGGCCTCTACTGTGGGGCCTCTACTGTGGGGCCTCTACTGTGGGGCCTCTACTGTGGGGCCTCTACTGTGGGGCCTCCTACTGTGGGGCCTCCTACTGTGGGGCCTCTACTGTGGGGTCTCCTACTGTGGGGTCTCCTACTGTGGGGCCTCTACTGTGGGGTCTTCTACTGTGGGGTCTCCTACTGTGGGGCCTCTACTGTGGGGTCTCTACTGTGGGGACTCTACTGTGGGGTCTCCTACTGTGGGGTCTCTACTGTGGGGCCTCTACTGTGGGGTCTCCTACTGTGGGGTCTTCTACTGTGGGGTCTTCTACTGTGGGGCCTCTACTGTGGGGCCTCTACTGTGGGGCCTCTACTGTGGGTCTAAAGTCACAGGACAGGTGTAACCTGCAGGATGCATACAGGAAGTTTTACTGCCTATAGTCAGTTCACATTTTATCATATCAGATGAAGGTAAAGAGACGAGGAGAGGAATACACTATTCTATTGGGATGCACCACATGACCAGAGAGAGGAATACACTATTCTATTGGGATGCACCACATGACCAGAGAGAGGAATACACTATTCTATTGGGATGCACCACATGACCAGAGAGAGGACAGAGAGAGAGAGAGAGAGGTGAAAGGTTAAACCATTGAACTAGAATCCTATAGACCAGTAGTCACCAACCGGTCGATCTCCAAGGCATCTCTAGTCGATCGCCGAACATTTAAGTGAAAACCCAACGATAAGCATTGTGTTCCTTTTTTTATTTTATTTGTCTGGCGGTTTTAGTTGCACCCGATTCAGCTGCACCGCGCGCCGGCTAGTTACAAATCAAGTGCACTATAGACCTACCACTGGCCAATCGGATGGCTCAGATTACCATGTCTGCAGTAACGTAGCAGGCGTAAAAGAAAGCCATTTAAGTTTTTACTCAGCACTTTCTATTCAACACTTTTATAAGCCATAAAATGAGCGTTCTCCCTACTTCCACTCAGCACTACAACCAGCACTGCAGATGTAATGAATGAGTAGGAGAGTGTATCTATAGGCTTGCATTGTTATTATTAGCGGCTTGGGTCTTTTTTAATATTGAGGAATATTTCACCTTTCTCTGGTCATCATAGGAGTAACAACATGAATTTGTGCATGAGGCAGAAATAATGCAGTGCGACTCGAGTTCCGCCATCAGCTGGAAGACTGAGTCCCCTTTTTGGTCGGTGTCAGTGGAGGAAAGGGAGAGCGGAGGGCTGCAGAGAGGCGGAGGAGCGGAGGGCTGCAGAGAGGCGGAGGAGCGGAGGGCTGCAGAGAGGCGGAGGAGCGGAGGGCTGCAGAGAGGCGGAGGAGCGGAGGGCTGCAGAGAGGCGGAGGAGCGGAGGGCTGCAGAGAGGCGGAGGAGCGGAGGGCTGCAGAGAGGCGGAGGAGCGGAGGGCTGCAGAGAGGCGGAGGAGCGGAGGGCTGCAGAGAGGCAGAGGAGCGGAGGGCTGCAGAGAGGCGGAGGAGCGGAGGCAGAGGAGCGGAGGCTGCAGAGAGGCGGAGGGCGGAGGGCGGAGGAGCGGAGGGGAGAGGGGGAGTGGGAGGGTGTGAGAGGCGGAGCCAGTCTGTGCCGCGAGAGACAGGGAGCGGAGGGCTGCAGAGAGGCGGAGGAAGGGAGGATGTCAGAGAGGCGCAGCTGATATGAGCGTGCGAGCAGAGCGAGACCGAAGGGCTGCAGAGAAGCGAAGCGAGGGATTGAGCAAGCGAAGAGAGCGGAGGCTGCAGTAGGGCGGAGGACGGAGGGCCAGAGAGGCGGAGGAGCGGAGGGCTGATAGGGTGATGGAGCGGAGGGCTGCAGAGGGCGTTAAGAGTGGAAGAGATGTTGAAGGATCGGAAGGGTGGGACCAGATGAGGGGAATCGAGAGGGCTGAAGATAGGCGAATGGAGGATGGCCGAGAGAGAGCAGTGCAAGGAGCTCCAGAAGTTAGCGGAGGACGGAGGGCTCAAAAGAGGGTGATCGAGCAGATCGGCATGCAGAAAAGGAGAGGGGACGGAGGGCTGCAGAGAGTCGAGGAGCGGAGGGCCAGAGAGGCGGAGGAGCGAGGCTCGAGAGGCGGGATGCGGAGGCCGCAAGAGCGGAGGAGCGGAGGGCTGCAGAGGAGCGGAGGGAGAGGGAGGTGTGAGAGCGGAGAGAGGGATGTTGAATGGTCAGAGCGGAGGGAGTTGAGAGGCAGAGCGAGGATGTTGAGAGCGACCCTAGTCTGACTGTTCTCTCCCTCTGCTGAACTGACCATCGGATGCAGGCACCATCAGCCCAGTAAAATAAAAAAAAAGCAAATTGTTTAAATTCATGCTCACTCTGATCACTATTCCGGTGTGATCATAGCCGACCTCAAAAATGGTCTGAGAAGAACAACATTGTCAGGGAAATTCAAGCAAAGCCAATATACGGTGATAATTGTTTGGGCCTATAGCCTACTGCACAAACCTCATTACTACAGAACTGTTTTAATAGGTTAATGTTGCACAGGGATATGTTTTTTTAAGTAATGTTAAAAAAAATTCTGAAAGTGATCTCGTCTCAAAAAAGGTTGGTGACCACTGCTATAGACGAATCCAAAATCCTAGAAGATTCTATTCCAACTGTCATAGAACTCCACAGAAGATTCTATTCCAACTGTCATAGAACTCCACAGAAGATTATATTCCAACTGTCATAGAACTCCACAGAAGAGATTCTATTCCAACTGTCATAGAACTCCACAGAAGAGATTCTATTCCAACTGTCATAGAACTCCACAGAAGAGATTCTATTCCAACTGTCATAGAACTCCACAGAGGAAGAAGAAGAGGTGGATGGAAGATGGCTCACTGAATCATTATCCATGACGTCCTCCAGGATTCTCACTATGTCTGTGAAGGACGGCCTGGAAGTGTAGGGTTCCATCCAGCAGTCTCGCATTATCTGCAGTCTGAGAGGGAGCGAGAGCGAGAGGGAGAGGGAGAGCTAGGACTGCATCCATAGGGCTTCTGTTCAAAAGTAGTGCACTAAATAATGAATTGGGAGCCATTTGTGACGAAGCCCCTAGAATACTTTCAACCTAAAAGCTTCATCCAGTATTCCACAGAGGGGCTTTGTGCATGCCTGGGTTGTGTTCAGGAAGGAGACATTATTTTAAACAAAGAGGTCCTACCTGAACTTGTCCAATAAGAACACAGATTTTTGTTTTGCTACATTGTGCCCTACTGAACATGGCACTGTCGCTGCGGTAACCACAACACTACCAATGATGTCACGGTCACTCACATCTCTGGCCTGCAGCCCTCGGGGTCTTTGTTCTTGTGACCGGCACAGATGTGATAGACCACGGCCTCTGGCGTCTCCAGGTTCAGGGTACGGTAAGGTGCCTGCCAAACCACAAGCACCCACTGTTGTAATGTCCAAGGTGTTATAATCACATCGAATTTAGAATTTGTTCTAATTTACTTATCTGGGTAAATAAAGGGTTAGATGAATACAATCTCAGTCCTGTCATCATTATGCGCACTGGGCAGCCACCTATACAGGCTTGTAAATGATGGCAGACATTTTGTTTCCATTGTTTATGAACACAAAACTCACCAAATGTCTGCATCTCCCACAGCACGATGCCAAACGCCCACACATCCCCCTTGAAGCTGTAATAGTTGATTCTGAAGTACTCAGGGGGGTACCAGCGTAGGGGCACACGTTCCTACACACGTAACCGTACATTGGAAACAGTTACCCTTTAAAACTCACACCAAGACCATCATCACGTTTAGGGCCAGTTTCCTGCGACAGATTAAGCCTAATCCTGTCCTAAAAAGCATTGTCAATATCCCTGTGACTGGACTACCCCCCGAATTTGCCACAGTATGAAGTCATCTGACCCATAGGTGTTTCATGTGGTTTCTGTCAGCATGTGTGCGTGTGACTGAACCCTGTGTGTGTGTGTGTGTGTGTGTGACTGAACCCTGTGTGTGTGTGTGTGTGTGTGTGTGTGTGTGTGTGACTGAACCCTGTGTGTGTGTGTGTGTGTGTGTGTGTGTGTGTGTGTGTGTGTGTGTGTGTGTGTGTGTGTGTGTGTGTGTGTGTGTGTGTGACAGACCTGTGGGTGTTTCCTGCGGCTGCTGCGTCGGCTCCTCATGCGGGTCAGGTCTCTGGCCAGACCAAACTCTGACACCTTTACCTCCCAGGGAAACCTGCTCACCATGATGTTCCTGAGGGCCAGGTCACAGTGCACCACCTGAAACACAACACAGATCCCAGAACAGTTACTGTCTGTCTGTCTGTCTGAGTAAGGACAGGTCCAAGACCAGTAATGCCAGTGGCAGTTGGTGTCATAAGGAATGTGTGGGAGGAGGAGGAAACTGGGTACCATTTTGGATCGGAGGTGTTCCATGGCCAGTGCGATGTGATAGGATGCAATGGTGAGCAGGCTCTGTAGCTCAGGGTCATTGGCCAGCTTGTCTCTGTTGGTCTGAAGGAAGCTCCGCAGGGTTCCATAGCTCACAAACTCCATGATCAACACATAGGGTTCTGGGAGGACACACACAGGCACAAACACACACACACACACACACACACACACACACCACACACACACACACAACACACACACACACACACACACACTACCATTAGAATTCAGCTTGCAGTAGTTGTAGGAAATATATTATAGATAAGGAGCCACTTTTTCTATTCTATATGGAGACAGACAATGTAAATAATGCAGACACATAGAGTGGTCAAAAATAGTACACTATAAAAGTAGGGTGTCATTTGGGCCGCAACCCTGAATCAGCATGCGGCTCGTTTTCCCTCCTTACCCTCAGTGGAGTTCCAGTCCAGCAGCCGGAGGTGGTGTCTGTCCTTACCCTCAGTGGGTTCAGTCCAGCAGCCGGTAGGTGGTGTCCTGTCCCATTACCCTCAGTGGTGGTTCCAGTCCAGCAGCCGGGGAGGTGGTTGTCTGTCTGTCCTTACCCTCAGTGGTGTTCCAGTCCAGCAGCGGAGGTGGTGTCTGTCCTTACCCTCAGTGGTGTTCCAATCCAGCAGCCGGAGGTGGTGTCTGTCTTACCCTCAGTGGAGTTCCAGTCCAGCAAGCCGAGTGTGGTGTCTGTCCTTACCCTCAGTGGTGTTTCCAGTCCAGCAGCCGGAGGTGGTGTCTGTCCTTACCCTCAGTGGAGTTCCAGTCCAGCAGCCGGAGGTGGTGTCTGTCCTTACCCTCAGTGGAGTTCCAGTCCAGCAGCCGGAGGTGGTGTCTGTCCTTACCCTCAGTGGTGTTCCAGTCCAGCAGCCGGCAGGTGGTGTCCCTGTCCTTACCCTCAGTGGTGTTCCAGTCCAGCAGCCGGAGGTGGTGTCTGTCCTTACCCTCAGTGGAGTTCCGTCCAGCAGCCGGAGGTGGTGTCTGTCCTTACCCTCAGTGGAGTTTCCAGTCCAGCAAGCCGGAGGTGGTGTCTGTCCTTACCCTCAGTGGTAGTTCCAGTCCAGCAGCCGGAGGTGTGTCTGTCCTTACCCTCATGGTGTTCCAGTCCAGCAGCCGGAGGTGGTGTCTGTCCTTACCCTCAGTGGTGTTCCAGTCCAGCAGCCGGAGGTGGTGTCTGTCCTTACCCTCAGTGGTGTTCCAATCCAGCAGCCGGAGGTGGTGTCTGTCCTTACCCTCAGTGGAGTTCCAGTCCAGCAGCCGGAGGTGGTGTCTGTCCTTACCCTCAGTGGAGTTCCAGTCCAGCAGCCGGAGGTGGTGTCTGTCCTTACCCTCAGTGGAGTTCCAGTCCAGCAGCCGGAGGTGGTGTCTGTCCTTACCCTCAGTGGAGTTCCAGTCCAGCAGCCGGAGGTGGTGTCTGTCCTTACCCTCAGTGGTGTTCCAGTCCAGCAGCCGGAGGTGGTGTCTGTCCTTACCCTCAGTGGTGTTCCAGTCCAGCAGCCGGAGATGGTGTCTGTCCTTACCCTCAGTGGTGTTCCAGTCCAGCAGCCGGAGATGGTGTCTGTCCTTACCCTCAGTGGTGTTCCAGTCCAGCAGCCGGAGGTGGTGTCTGTCCTTACCCTCAGTGGAGTTCCAGTCCAGCAGCCGGAGGTGGTGTCTGTCCTTACCCTCAGTGGTGTTTCCAGTCCAGCAGCCGGAGGTGGTGTCTGTCCTTACCCTCAGTGGAGTTCCAGTCCAGCAGCCAGAGGTGGTGTCTGTCCTTACCCTCAGTGGTGTTCCAGTCCAGCAGCCGGAGGTGGTGTCTGTCCTTACCCTCAGTGGTGTTCCAATCCAGCAGCCGGAGGTGGTGTCTGTCCTTACCCTCAGTGGAGTTCCAGTCCAGCAGCCGGAGGTGGTGTCTGTCCTTACCCTCAGTGGTGTTCCAGTCCAGCAGCCGGAGGTGGTGTCTGTCCTTACCCTCAGTGAGTTTCCAGTCCAGCAGCCGGAGGTGGTGTCTGTCCTTACCCTCAGTGGAGTTCCAGTCCAGCAGCCGGAGGTGGTGTCTGTCCTTACCCTCAGTGGAGTTCCAGTCCAGCAGCCGGAGGTGGTGTCTGTCCTTACCCTCAGTGGTGTTCCAGTCCAGCAGCCGGAGGTGGTGTCTGTCCTTACCCTCAGTGGAGTTCCAGTCCAGCAGCCGGAGGTGGTGTCTGTCCTTACCCTCAGTGGTGTTCCAGTCCAGCAGCCGGAGGTGGTGTCTGTCCTTACCCTTAGTGGTGTTCCAGTCCAGCAGATGGAGGTGGTGTCTGTCCTTACCCTCAGTGGAGTTCCAGTCCAGCAGCTGGAGAACATTATTGTGGTGCACCAGCTTCCTCATGATGGATACCTCCATCTCCACATGCTTAGGGGTCACACCTACAGGACAAAATGGATGCTATTAGTGAAAAACAGATTGAACTCTCAGGGTTCTACAGTGCCACCATTTGACTCGCATATGCCCCAAAATATCTTGCTGTGCGACCTGGAATTTTAATTTAGGAGCACCAGTGTGCATAGAACAATTAAGGATTCTAGCTTTAATACCTCAAATATTTTTAATTGTGCCCCTAAATGCATTTGTGTGCACCTACATTTCTCAAATTAGGCGCACATGTTCTTCTTGTAAAAGGTCAGCGTCCAGCCCTGGCTCTTTGTGACGTTCCAAATAGCACGCTATTCCCTATACAGACCCTGGCCCCACTCTCCGAGGGTGTCTCTGGGAGAGTTGGGATATGCAAAAACACACTTCCAATTCACACATGCGTATTAATATACACTTGTACATGTGTGAAATAGGACAAATATAAGCACCCACCAAATAATAATAATAATAATAATAATATTATTATTATTATTATTATTGTTATTATTATTATTATTATTACTACTACTACTCCCGAGTGGCGCAGTGGTCTAAGGCACTGCATCGCAGTACTAGCTGTGCCACTAGAGATCCTGGTTCGAATCCAGGCTCTGTCGTAGCCTGCCGCGACCGGAAACCACGGGCGGCGACAATTGGTCCAGGTAGGGAGGAATGCGGCAGGGATGTAGCTCAGTTGGTAGGCACGCCAGGGTTGTGGGTTCGATTCCCCAGGGGGGCCAGTATGAAAAAATATATATATATATTTATATATACAGTGGGGAGAACAAGTATTTGATACACTGCCGATTTTGCAGGTTTTCCTACTTACAAAGCATGTAGAGGTCTGTAATTTTTTTATCATAGGTACACTTCAACTGTGAGAGACGGAATCTAAAACGAAAATCCAGAAAATCACATTGTATGATTTTTAAGTAATTCATTTGCATTTTATTGCATGACATAAGTATTTGATACATCAGAAAAGCAGAACTTAATATTTGGTACAGAAACCTTTGTTTGCAATTACAGAGATCATACGTTTCCTGTAGGTCTTGACCAGGTTTGCACACACTGCAGCAGGGATTTTGGCCCACTCCTCCATACAGACCTTCTCCAGATCCTTCAGGTTTTCGGGGCTGTCGCTGGGCAATACAGACTTTCAGCTCCCTCCAAAGATTTTCTATTGGGTTCAGGTCTGGAGACTGGCTAGGCCACTCCAGGACCTTGAGATGCTTCTTACGGAGCCACTCCTTAGTTGCCCTGGCTGTGTGTTTCGGGTCGTTGTCATGCTGGAAGACCCAGCCACGACCCATCTTCAATGCTCTTACTGAGGGAAGGAGGTTGTTGGCCAAGATCTCACGATACATGGCCCCATCCATCCTCCCCTCAATACGGTGCAGTCGTCCTGTCCCCTTTGCAGAAAAGCATCCCCAAAGAATGATGTTTCCACCTCCATGCTTCACGGTTGGGATGGTGTTCTTGGGGTTGTACTCATCCTTCTTCTTCCTCCAAACACGGCGAGTGGAGTTTAGACCAAAAAGCTATATTTTTGTCTCATCAGACCACATGACCTTCTCCCATTCCTCCTCTGGATCATCCAGATGGTCATTGGCAAACCAGACGGGCCTGGACATGCGCTGGCTTGAGCAGGGGGACCTTGCGTGCGCTGCAGAATTTTTTATCCATGACGCCGTAGTGTGTTACTAATGGTTTTCTTTGAGACTGTGGTCCCAGCTCTCTTCAGGTCATTGACCAGGTCCTGCCGTGTAGTTCTGGGCTGATCCCTCACCTTCCTCATGATCATTGATGCCCCACGAGGTGAGATCTTGCATGGAGCCCCAGACCGAGGTTGATTGACCGTCATCTTGAACTTCTTCCATTTTCTAATAATTGCGCCAACAGTTGTTGCCTTCTCACCAAGCTGCTTGCCTATTGTCCTATAGCCCATCCCAGCCTTGTGCAGGTCTACAATTTATCCCTGATGTCCTTACACAGCTCTCTGGTCTTGGCCATTGTGGAGAGGTTGGAGTCTGTTTGATTGAGTGTGTGGACAGGTGTCTTTTATACAGGTAACAAGTTCAAACAGGTGCAGTTAATACAGGTAATGAGTGGAGAACAGGAGGGCTTCTTAAAGAAAAACTAACAGGTCTGTGAGAGCCGGAATTCTTACTGGTTGGTTGGTGATCAAATACTTATGTCATGCAATAAAATGCAAATGAATTACTTAAAAATCATACAATGTGATTTTCTGGATTTTTGTTTTGGATTCCGTCTCTCACAGTTGAAGTGTACCTATGATAAAAATGACAGACCTCTACATGCTTTGTAAGTAGGAAAACCTGCAAAATCGGCAGTGTATCAAATACTTGTTCTCCCCACTGTATATATATATACTAACTAATATATACTAACTGACAAAAAATCAATAAAAATAATTCCTTATACAGTGCACTATTTTTGACCAGGACCCATAATATAGAGCACTGGGGAATAGGCTGCCATTTGGGATGCAACCTTTGTGACCTTTCACCTCACTAAAGCAGTGTCTCATTGCTTCCTCAGTCTCAATGGACATTTAATCTCTGATCATTATGGGTATAAGATTATCAACTGTTTATCAGTGGTTGAGGAGTGTACTGGTGGTAGCGTAGCCTAGCCTAGCATAGCCTCTTTGGTAATCTGGTGGTAGCCTAGCATACCCTCTTTGGTGATCTGGTGGTAGCCTATGGTATCCTACCTAGCCTACATACCTCTTTGGTGATCTGTGGTAGCCTAGCATTAACCCGTTGGTGATCTGGTGGTACTAGCCTCTGTACCTCTTTGGTAATCTGGTGGTAGCCTAGCATAGCCTCTTTGGTAATCTGGTGGTAGCCTAGCCTAGCATACCCTCTTTGGTGATCTGGTGGTAGCCTAGCCTACCTAGCATAGCCTCTTTGGTAATCTGGTGGTAGCCTAGCCTAGCCTAGCATACCCTCTTTGGTGATCTGGTGGTTGCCTAGCCTACTGTACCCTCTTTGGTGATCTTGCAGGTGAACATGCCGTGGCCCTTGCAGGTTCCCCGTGTCATCCTGGCCTTGTAGAAGGCTCCCTCCTTCCCTGCCTTGATGAGCTGCAGCAGACTGAGGTCTGACTTGGTGAAGCGGGGACCCTGGAGATAATCACATCGACTTACTCAACTTTGTATGATTTTTAAACTGCATACAACAGTGGAGGCTGGGGGGAGAAGCTATAGGAGGACGGGCTCATTGTAATGGCTGGAATGGAATCAGTGGAACAGAGAAAACGTGTGGTTTCCATGGTTTCCATGTGTTTGATACCGTTCCATTTATTCCATTCCAGCCATTACAATGAGCCCCTCCCACCAGCCTCCTCTGATATAAAATCTGGTTATTACCTACTGTACATCATCCATGTACACTGTCTGTAGATCCTGTCTGTGTGTGTGTGTGCCTGCGTGTGTGTGTGTGTGCTTGCACGTGTGTATAGTCCTATGTGTGTGTGTGTGTGTGTGTGTGTGTGTGTGTGTGTGTGTGTGTGTGTAGAATATGTATGCGTACCTGTTGTAGCGGCCTCCATGGCAGTCTGGTAGTGACAGACCTGGTCTTGTTTCCTTGTAGTGGTGTCTGCTCCTCAGGGTCCTCTTTCCCCAGTCTCTCTGTGAAGGTAACGGGGCAAGGGGAAGCAGGCGAGAGAACCGGGGAGTCTGGAGTGGAAACTACATTTCCCAGAGGCCTTCCTCCTCGCAGGTCCCGAATGATCCGCTCCAAGGAACGATACCTGACAACAGGCAAAAGGGAGGATGTTCTACGAATGGATGGTCCATATGGGAATGGCTGACAGAAAATATACTATGTAGTACAGTGCATTCGGAAAGTATTCAGACCCCTTGACATTTTCCACATTTTGTTAGGTTACAGCCTTATTCTAAAATGTATTACATTGTTGTTTCCCCTCATCAATCTACACACAATACCCCATAATGACAAAGCAAAAACTGGTTTTTAGAAATGTTTGCACGTTGTTTGCACATTTATATAAAAAAAAACATTTACATAAGTATTCCGACCCTTTACTCAGTACTTTGTTGAAGCACCTTTGGCAGCGATTACAGCATCGAGTCTTCTTGGGTATGACGCTACAAGCTTGGCACACCTGTATTTGGGGAGTTTCTCCCATTCTTCTCTGCAGATCCTCTCACGCTCTGTCAGGTTGGATTGGGAGCGTTGCTGCACAGCTATTTTCAGGTCTCTCCAGAGATGTTCGATCGGGTTCAAGTCCGGGCTCTGGCTGGGCCACTCAAGGACATTCAGAGACTTGTCCCGAAGCCACTCCTGCGTTGTCTTGGCTTAGAGTCATTGTCCTGTTGGAAGGTGAACCTTCGCCCCAGTCTGAGGTCCTGAGCACTCTGGAGCAGGTTTTCATCAAGGATCTATCTGTACTTTGCCCCGTTAATCTTTTCCTCAATCCTGACTAGTCTCCCAGTCCCTGCCGCTGAAAAACATCCCCACAGCATGATGCTGCCACCACAATGCTTCACCGTAGGGATGGTGCCAGGTTTCCTCCAGACGTGACGCTTGGCATTCAGGCCAAAGACTTCAATCTTGGTTTCATCAGACCAGAGAATCTTGTTTCTCATGGTCTGAGAGTCTTTAGGTGCCTTTCGGCAAACTCCAAGCGGGCTGTCATGTGCCTTTTACTGAGGAGTGGCTTCCGTCTGGCCACTGTACCATAAAGGCCTGATGGGTGGAGTGCTGCAGAGATGGTTGTCCTTCTGGAAGGTTCTCCCATCTCCACAGAGGAACTCTAGAGCACTGTCAGGTGTGTGCCTTTCCAAATCATGTCCAATGAATTGAATTTACCACAGGTGGACTCCAATCAAGTTGTAGAAATATCTCAAGGATGATCAATGGAAACAGGATGCACCTGAGCTCAACTTCGAGTCTCATAGCAAAGGGTCTGAGTACTTAACCCTTAGGGTTAGGTTACTTTACATAAATGTGCAAACATTTATAACAACCTGTTTTCGCTTTGTCATTATGGGGTATTGTGTGTAGATTGCTGAGGAATTTGTTTTATTTAATCCATTTTAGAATAAGGCTGTAACGTAACAAAATGTGGAAAAAGTCAAGGGGTCTGAATACTTTCCGAAGGTATATACACTACCAGACAAAAGTTGACACACACCTACTCATTCAAGGGTTTTTCTTTAATTTTCAAAATTTTTTACATTGTAGAATAATAGTGAAGACATCAAAACTATGAAATAACACAAGCAATGATGGAGTTTCGTTTCTCTTTGCCTATTTGAGCTGTTCTTGCCATAATATGGACTTGGTCTTTTACCAAATAGGGCTATCTTCTGTATACCCCCCCCTACCTTGTCACAACACAACTGATTGATTCAAACGCATTAAGAAAGAAATTCCACAAATTAACTTTTAAGAAGGCACACCTGTTAATTGAAATGCATTCCAGGTGACTACCTCATGAAGCTGGTTGAGCAAAGCTCATCAAGGCAAATGGTGGCTACTTTGAAGAATCTCAAAAATATAAAATATATTTTGATTTGTTTAACACTTTTTTGGTTACTACATGATTCCATATGTGTTATTTCATAGTTTTGATGTCTTCACTATTATTCTACAATGTAGAAAATAGTAAAAATAAAGAAAAACCGTAGAATGAGTAGGTGTGTCCAAACTTTTGACTGGTACGGGTATATAAATATATATTGACAGAAAAATATATTGTGGATTGGAAATGATGCAGACAATTACATTGATTTAAGCTACAATCTATCTGTAATATTAAAGCTGATCTTCCCCCTAAAGAGTTTTAATAGAAAAACAACTAGGAGACTTTCGGACTTCATTTGGAAGCTCCTCTACTCCTTGTTGCTTTTCCCAGCAGCCTTCATAGTAAATGTTTCATTCAGGAATGAGTTTGAGGTGTATCCAGCCCTATTCATCTCAATTTCCAACCCATTCTTTAAGTTACAAGTATAATTTAAGTCATCATCAAAACACAGATGGTATACTGTTGCCTGAAAATTGGTTTTTGCTAACCTTTCTCCCAGTTATCCAAAACACAATTCTTCTAATGTTCAAGTTCACCATTTTCCAGTATGATTTCCATGGACATTTTTGTAACTCTTTTTGGACCCAGTTTATACATTTAATTCCAAAATTGCCGAGGGTTGTTACTTTGCAGTTGTCGTAGATGCAGTGCTTGGCCCTTTCTGAATCTGTACAGTCTAAGTCTATACAGCTTTCAGAGGACCTACTAGCTCACTTAACTTCAAACTGCAATGTTTAACCTAGTAGTAGAATACAGACCATTTCTCACAAACCCATTGAGGTGAGCCGTCTTACTTTTTCAGCCACAGAGTCCCCAGCACTATGAAGACCAGGACGGTGAGTAGAAACACCCCGATAAGGAGGTAGTGAGGTAGGTCCATGCTAGACGAGGCTTTAGGTACACACACACACACACACACACACACACACACACACACACACACACACACACACAAAATAGGTCACACGATGTAAAGCAATGTGCTTAATCTGTTTCAGACATATCATTATTTACATAACATTACATGGAGGTATAGGCTCAATTCCATTCCAAATGATCCCATTTCAGGTGAACAACTCACTTGGGATATGGGTGGTTGAATTGTTCAAGGAGGCCGCCATGTCATCCAGTCACAAGTCCCTTGTTCATGTAGACAGACAGCATTGCCAGTGACGAGTCACAAGTCCTTGTAAAGGAACAAAGAACTCCACCTACCTACTCGTCTAACCCCAACCCTACCCGTCTGTCCTCTTACAAGGGCCCCTGGTGAGGGTACATCTGCTCCATAACACACTCCACATCAAAGGTAAACTGGCACTGCCCAGCAATAGACTCAGACAACGTCTAGGCCTAACTCACTGATTCTCTGTAGACAGTGATATCCTGCTATTGTGTTTCTCTGCTCGTCTCCGAGACCCTGAGAGAAAGTCAGACCCCTTGAAGAGAAGACACACCCGTTGAGAGGAAACAGAGAACACATCATCATGTCCTGTGTTATTGGAGTCAGTAGGAGGGGTTTGTTTGCATGAGAACCACACCGCACGGAGGGGAAATGCACAGTAGCATCCCGTGGTTTTCAAACCCCCTGACACGGCGGAGACCGAGCTGTCTGACTGACAAGAGACACTTACGCCATCTATGCAACGAACACCTAAGGTCTACTAAATGTTGAGGAACTTTCTGTATCGTATGACGTTTTGGTCAGTCGGATCAATTATAGGCAGTGAAGGATATAATGTATATGAATGATATGCTATATATGAGGAGTAGGAAGCAGACAGCCACTAGATAAACTTCGTCAGTTGGAAAGAGATGCTTCACAATGAGGTTTGGTCTCCTAGCCAATCACTCACATGGTTTGATAGAGTTTGATGTTATGTGGTGGGTGTAGATTAGAAAGCTCCCGTCCGCATCCCAAATGGCACCCTATTTCCTATATAGTGCACTACTTTTGACCAGGGCCAATGGGGCTCTATGTAGGGAATAGGGTGCCATTTGGGAGGCAACCGCTGTCTGTAGTTATGGGGTCAGGTATAAATATCGTGCTGGTAGTCTTTGTCTTTGTTTCGGGGAAATATCTGTTCTGTTCCCGACCACTGCAGCTGCTAGCTGGTCTGTTCTGCAGAAAGAGACCCGGAATAAAGTGCAGGGCTGAGGTTTCCGCTCACAGATACTAACTCAACTCACAATACCTAGACCCACAGTCTGGGCCTGCTGCAAGCGTGATTGGAGCCCTCTCTCACTCTCTGACACACACACACAGACACGGGTCAGACAACTGCACACGCACGCACGCACACACACACACACACACACACACACAAGAAAACCAACCCATCAACTGAATGACTTAATTGCATCTGTTATATTTAATTTGTTGCTTGGATATTTGTTACAGATCAACAGTATCATCACTCCATATACAACTACAAGTACAGTATTTTTTAAAGTTCATATTCAAATACATCCGTTTTAATGGCTTATTTACAAAACACTTTATGTACATTTTCAATGTCAGTGCAATGTAATTTGTATTCTTTAAACACTTCTTACAAAATAAAAGGTCATTAAATGAATAAATCTCTTTCTGATCCATCAAAATAAGGATGAGGACAAAAACTAAATAATTTCAGTAGTAGATTGCACTACCTCCTGTCAACGGGTCATACCATCTTGCCACCGAGGGAGGGGTGTTCACTGTTCAGTTAATAAATTAGCCCTGGGCTTCACAGCATTGAAATGCTCATACGAGTGTTTTAAAAGAATAATAAGTTGTCTGCCTGGAATCAGAACAGCATGTAGCTGACTGGATCTGAAGTGAACCAACAGTGTAATGGAGCAGTAGTCTGTGGGTTCCAGGCCGTCCTCTGTGACTGCTGCTGGTAAAGAGAGCTGAAGATGTTTAAAGGCCTGGTAAAGATTGACTGCGACCCAAATGCCACCCTATTCCCTACATAGTGCACTACTTTTGACCAGAGCCCTATGGGCCTTAGTCAAAAGTAGTGCACAACATAGGGGATAGGTTGGCATTTGGCATCCCTAATTTCTTGTCACGCTTAAATTAGTCTCAGAGCAGGGCACATCTAGCCCATACAGCAGAGGGTTCAGAGCCACTGCATCTCTACAAACCCAAGTCCCAAATAGGGCACTACATAGGGGATAGGGTGCCATTTGGGACTCCACTCAAGTCAAATGTAAAAGAAGCTTTGTTTGACCGGATATGCGGTTCAGATATCCACACTAACACACTACTTAGTACGAAGCAATGTATTGGGCGGGCATTCTAAGTGCTATGCTAGTATAAACATTGGAACATGGGCCTGTTCTGATCTCCACAAACTGTTCCATTTGAATGAAGTTATGTACACTATATATATAAAAGTTTGTGGACACCCTTTCAAATTAGTGGATTCTGCTATTTCAGCCACACCCGTTGCTGACAGGTGTATTGAATCGAGCACACAGCCATGCACTCTCCATAGACAAACATTGGCAGTAGAATGGCCTTACTTGAAGAGCTCAGTGACTTTCAACGTGGCACCGTCATAGGATGCCACCTTTCCAACAAGTCAGTTCGTCAAATGTCTGCCCTGCTAGAGCTGCCCCCGGTCAACTGTAAGTGCTGTTATTGTGAAGTGGAAACATCTAGGAGTAACAACGGCTCAGCCGTGAAGTGGTAGGCCACACAAGCTCACAGAATGGGACCGTCGAGTGCTGAAGCACATAAAAATCGTCTGTCCTCGGTTGCAACACAATACAGAGTTCCAAACTGCCTCTGGAAGCAACGTCAGCACAATAACTGTTTTCGTCGGGAGCTTCATGAAATGGTTTTCCATGGCCAAGCAGCCGCACACAAGCCTAAGATCACCATGCACAATGCCAAGCGTCGGCTGGAGTGGTGTAAAGCTCTCCGCCATTGGACGAATTTGGGTTTGGCGGATGCCAGGAGAACGCTACCTGCCCCAATGCTTAGTGCCAACTGTTTTTCATGGTTCCGGCTAGGCCCCTTAGTTCCAGTGAAGGGAAATCTTAACGCTACAGCATACAATTACATCTAGATGATTCTGTGTTTCCAACTTTGTGGCAACAGTTTGGAGAAGGCCCTTTCCTCTTTCAGCAATGCAATTCCCCCCGTGCACAAAGCGAGGTCCATACAGAAATGGTTTGTCGAGATCGGTGTGGAAGAACCTGACTGGCCTGCACAGAGCCCTGACCTCAACCCCATCAAACGTTTGGGATGAATTGGAACGCCGACTGCGAGCCAGGCCTAATCGCCCAACATCAGTGCCCGACCTCACTAATTCTCTTGTGGCTGAATGGCAGTAAGTCCCCGCAGCAATGTTCCAACATCTAGTGGAAAGCCTTCCCAGAAGAGTAGAGGCTGTTATAGCAGCAAAAGGGGGGACCAACTTCATATTAATGGCCCATGATTTTGGAATGAGATGTTTGACGAGCAGGTGTCCACATACTTTTGGTCATGTAGTGTATTTAAAACATTGAACAACATTCCCGATAACATTCAATAGTTAGACATCGTTTTACAGTGGGGGGGAAATATAACAAGACAAAGAATGTTCAGTAATGCAATTTGCATTAATCACACAAACATTTTCTGACAAGGAAAATAAAGTTTCATTCAATGACAGACATTTTATCCAGTGCATCTATGATGATCATCATTACCCCCATAAACAGAGCAGAAACAAGGGGGTCAGGGGCTTTAAACCACCTAACATTCTCTTGAATGATTCTGGAACTTGCTCGGAGCATAACTTCACCATAAGAGAACGTTTAGAATCATAAATAATTGAGTATTCTATTGTTTTCCAGGTGAGAAAACAGACATCTGCTCACAGTGGTGGTGTAAAAAGATTGTCGCTCTACAGAAGAGCTGCTACTAAAAGCTAGACAAAATCTATCGCTGACTCTAAAGTTAAGGTGAGACAAAGAAAGTGGTTCAGGTGCATTTTTCCAGTATATTGGCCCTTTTTTAAATGCATCCTTCCTTCCTTAAGGTAATCGCAGATCTATAAGTGATTGGATAGCTGTATCGAAGTTACTTTCACCAACCCAACCACTTCAGCTCTGCGATTACTTCAAGGAATGTAGGAAGGATGGATTTCTCAAGTATTGGAACAAGGCCAATGTCTCCGCTGACAGTCCACTGAACTAACGTCTCCGCTGACAGTCCACTGAATAACGTCTCCGCTGACAGTCCACTGAACTAACGTCTCCGCTGACAGTCCTGGACTAACAGTCTCTGACGTCCAACTACGCTCGTGACGTCAGACTAACGTTACCGCTGACAGTCCACGGATAACGTCAGCTGACAGTCCATGGACTAAGTCTCAGCGACGTCCACGACTAAACTCTCAGCTCTCACTGAATAACTCTCGTTTTGACATCCTAACTAACGTCTCACGCTGAACCTTACTGACACTAACGCTCGCTACAGTCCAATAAGCTAATTTTGTTCTCCCTGACAGTCCACTCTGAATAACCCCTCTGCCTTACAGTCTTCTCCCCAATCGTCTACAGTAAGCCACAAGTCACAATGGCTCAACCCATGATTTCTAACTCTTCCTAAAATCTGTTTTTTAAACCTAAACCTAACCACACTGCTAACCTTATGCCTAAACCTTAAAATAAGACCAAAAAGCTAATTTTGTTTTCCTGAATTTGTACGATATAGCCACCTCTGGCCCGCTAGCTCCCCTACCTCTACAGAAGCACAGTTCCCTGCTCAGCCCAGTCAAAGCTATTCGCTGCTCTGGCGCCCCAATAGTGGAACAAGCTCCCCCACGACGCCAGGACAGCGGAGTCACTAACCACCTTCCGGAGACACTTGAAACCCTACCTCTTTAAGGAATACCTGGAATAGTATAAAGTAATCCTTCTACCCCCCCCGCCATAAAAAAAAAGTGGTTGTCCCACTGGCTATCATAAGTTGAATGCACCAATTTGTAAGTCGCTCAATGATGTAAATGTAATAGCCAATTTAGAATTTGTCGCAGTGGTAACTAGTGACAACCCGCCCCAATCAGGTTCGATCTTTCTCAGAGCACTAAAATCTGAGCCTTTGATTGGTCGGTACAATCTGTGAAGAACTTTGGCTCGACTATGTCTCGACATGGAAACACGTGTATGACGTCAGACAGAGAAGCAGATACTTGGCTAGCGGCTTTACTTCACCTGCACTACCATAGTCCTCCTAGTGTTGTTAAAAAACACAGCATAACACCTGTCAGCACATTCGCCATGAAATGTGGGTAATCACTAACCATCGTAGTGTGTTATGACATGTTATATCATTGTTATGACAGTGCTATGAAGACCAAATGACAGCGCACTTTGAGTAGTGTTTTACCACATTATTTTATCTAACAGCTGATGGAAATGGTTAAAACATGGTATTGTTTCAGGAATGGAGTGGTGAGGACTGGATGGACGGACATTTGACGGGGAGTCCTAGGTTGCATCCCAAATGGCACCCTATTCCCTATGGGCCCAGGTCAAAAGTAGTGCACTACATAGGGAGCCATTTGGGACGCACCCTATTCATTTACAGTGTCAGACTGGCTCTCTACAACGTACTTTAGACAAACAGTAGAGTTGAGAACAACCCTTAAAATGAACCAAATGTGCATAAAAAATTTGCAACAATAAAAATACATCTCTATAAAATAAGTTTTTGGAGAAAGAGAAAAATTAAATATTTATATATTGATGCATATTTGAAACATCATCTATGGCACCTGTCCAGAACATAACCCAGATTTAAACTCAAGCTTGTGAGTTAAAAAACGACTACAATGAACGTCCCTAAATTCATGCAATGTTGTGGGTACATTGATCAGCAATTGCACATTTTTGTTTTGGCAGTTGCTTGGCAAGGGCCAAATTTAGGTCAAACACCTCGATTTTGTGGAATTTTTCTTCATAAAGGGAGATTATTATTTTTTGAAGTGTGTGTGTGTGTGTGTGTGTGTGTGTGTGTGTGTGTGTGTGTGTGTGTGTGTGTGTGTGTGTGGACATCAAAAGAGGAAGTGTGTGACGTTTTAATACTGTCACAAATATTTGACTGTACCAATAGGCCAGTGAAATGCACGCGACAGTGAGGTAGCATTAGGAGTTGTTTTTGTACTGACAGTATCGATACTAGAGGATGAAAATAAAACCTTTGGAGAACCTCTACCAACAAAACAATACAGTAATCTTCATATTACTGTATATAAAGTTATCGAGCGAGACAATATGTAGGTGTGGACATATTTTGATGGCAGCAGGGGAGGAAAATGCACAACAGGGGAAGCAACATCAGCTTGTGTGTGGACAACCTAACACACACATACAGGGGAGAGAGTGTGTTTCCTCGGGCTCAATGTGACACCAGTTTTAGTGCTTTATGTGGGGGCTTAAATGTTGATCTCTTGGCAACCTTGACACTAGCTTTCAGACCAACAAGGGGGGTACCCACCGGTATCCGAAGACACAACAACCGATTAGGCATTCAAGTGGTTCAGTTTGTGATGACTCGGTCAAACGACACCATTTTGTGCTTCTTGGCGACCAGTGACTGGCTGAAGAAGAAGCGTTGTGTCATTTCCTTTCTGTACGCGGGCCGGCTGAGTGGGTCTGTCCAGCGTTACGGGCGTGTGATCCTGATCACTGGAGGACACAGTACTTCTTGTAGTCAGACTCAAAGTCCTCGTCCATGCTAGTGGTGTCGGCCATCTTCTTGCCGTCAGTCTTTGGAAGGAACTGAGAGTAGTCCACTCCCTTCTGCTCATAGAACAGGATGTAGGCCGAGTCCGTGTCCATCTCCTCTGAGTGCACTTCCTAGAGAGGATACGGCAAACAAGTACGCACTTGAAAAAATATGTCTTTAAAATGACTAATTGGTTTGCCAGATTAAATTGACTATTAGTAGAGGATGAGTGTGTTTGTGTGTGTGTGTGTGTGTGTGTGTGTGTGTGTGTGTGTGTGTGTGTGTGTGTGTGTGTGTGTGTGTGTGTGTGTGTGTGTGTGTGTGTGTGTGTGTGTGTGTGTGTGTGTGTGTGTGTGTGTGTGTGTGTGTGTGTTTTCTCTTACCTTACAGCTGCTGTCATTGTAACAGTACCATTTGTTGTTGGGGTTTTTGGCATAGGTCACATAGTGTCCTCCTCCCATGATACCTGAATGGCACTGTGGAGACAGAGAGGACCTCCTATTAATTACTAACACAACATTGGCCTTCCTCAAATGTAGTGCACTATATAGGGAATAGGGTGCAACTTGGGGCAGAGGCTTTCTGATCTACACCAACCTCATAGAGTCAGTCAGAACCCGAAGTATCTAACTGTATTAAACTAAATCAAACGTATAGGTTAGGAGGCTAACTTCCAAGCAGTTTAGGAACCACTCACTGAAATTGCATATAAGTTGTAGATGTTCTCCAGGCTGTTGTCGCTTTGGTGCAGCAGGGCGGTGGCGCTAGTCTCTAGGTCCATGCTGGGCTCCGTACTGGCCTCCGTGTGCAGTACCGTTGCTATGGCCACCGCTGTCCCCGTTCATCACGATGACATCACGGAGGCTGCTAGATGCGTCTGCGGTGGACATCTCCGGCCCGCTCCCCACCCCGACCTCCCCGAAACCTCCACCCACCACCCCCACAAGCCCACCCTCCGTGTCCGCCTGAGGTGCTCCCTCCCTGGGCTCGGTGTCGGGGTCGCCGCCCCCCTCCCTGGTACTACGCTCCAGGTTCTCCTTGCTGTTGGAGAGGCGGTGTCGGCTGCCCAGCTGGGGGAGCCTGAGGAGGGTCTGTCTGTGGCCTGTGCTCCCTGACCCTGGCCCTCCTCCTGTCTTGGGGCTGTTGGTACAGCTGATGGAAGAGGGAGGGGTTGACTTCCTGCCTGAAGCTGGAGAGGCTGTGGAGACAGAAAGACAGACAGAGAGACAGAGACAGACAGACAGAGACAGAGACAGAGACAGAGACAGAGAGAGAGAGAGAGAGAGAGAGAGAGAGAGAGAGAGAGAGAGAGAGAGCAGAAGGGAGGGGGGGGATCAGTGAAACAGCTTGACCTCATTCTTCCTGTGTATATAGGCTATGTGGTATATTGGTATATTGAGCACGATGAAATACACGCTTGCTCTGGTTTCGGTGTTTCAGTGTGTTTTATTACCTCTCTCTGAATGACTGGTTGAGTCTGAAACAATGGAAAACCACTGCAGCTGATGACTGGGCTATCATCAAGCTAATCAGGGACTTGGAACCAACAGTCACTTGAATGACCAAAAAGCAGCAAGCTTCCATTGAGACAGGAATGAAACGTAACCAGGAGTGAGACAGAGGCTGTGTCCCAAATGGCACCCTATTCCCTATATAGTGCACTACATTTGACCAGGGGTCCACAGGGACGATGCACTATAAAGGGAATAAGGTGCCATTTGGGATGCGGAAAGGATGACATCAGACCTTTGAGGATGTTGAGGAACCCAGCAGGGGCGGAGACGGAGGAGACCGTTTCTCCTCCTCCTATCGCTCAGTAGCTCCTCGCCCCACGCTGCGGCGCTGGCAGAACTGTGTAGCCCGTTAAGCCCCGCCTCCCGGGGAGCCAGTAAACGCTAGGGTCAAACCTCTCTCTGGGGAACTTGACGATCTTCTGAGACTTGATCCAGCGGCCGTTCACAAACTGGAACCTCTTCAGGTGTACTATCTGCAATGCAGAGCCAAAACAACAACATCAACTAATGAAACATTGATGTAGATACGCCTGTTTACATTGCTAATAAATGGATCTTCTTTTTATAAATATAAGAATATAACAGGAAACAGTGTTGTAAAGTATACTGTGTTTCAATCATACTATGTAGTGGTGGTGGGTACTATGTAGTGGTGGTGGGTACTATGTGTGATGTGGGTCCTATGTAGTGGTGTGTGTCCTATGTAGTGTGGTGGGTACTTGTAGTGGGGTGGGTACTATGTAGTGGTGGTGGGTCCTATTGTGGTGGTTGGTAACTATTTAGTTGTGGTGGGTCTTATGTAGTGGTGGTGGGTACTATGTATGGTGGTGGGTACTATGTAGTGGTGGTGGGTACTATGTAGTGGTGGTGGGTACTATGTAGTGGTGGTGGGTACTATGTAGTGGTGGTGGGTACTATGTAGTGTGTGGGTACTATGTAGTGGTGGTGGGTACTATGTGTGATGGTGGGTACTATGTAGTGGTGGTGGGTACTATGTAGTGGTGGTGGGTACTATGTAGTGGTGGTGGGTACTATGTAGTGGTTGTGGGTACTATGTAGTGGTGGTGGGTACTATGTAGTGGTGGTGGGTACTATGTAGTGATGGTGGGTACTATGTTGTGGTGGTGGGTACTATGTTGTGGTGGTGGGTACTATTGTGTGGTTGGGTACTATGTAGTGGTGGTGGGTACCTATTAGTGGTGGTGGGTACTATGTAGTGGTGGTGGGTACTATGTAGTTTGGGGGTGGGTACTATGTAGTGGTGGTGGGTACTATGTAGTGGTGGTGGTACTATGTAGTGGTGGTGGGTACTATGTGTGGTGGTGGGTACTATGTATGTGGTGGTGGGTACTATGTAGTGATGGTGGGTACTATGTATGGGGGTGGGTACTATGTAGTGGTGGTGGGTACTATGTCGTGGTGGTGGTACTATGTGTGGTGGTGGGTACTATGTAGTGGTGGTGGGTACTATGTTTGTGGTGGTGGGTACTATGTAGTGGTGGTGGGTACTATGTGTGGTGGTGGGTACTGTATGTGTGGTGTGTACTATGTGTGGTGTGGGTACTTGTAGTGATGGTGGGTACTATTTTATGGTGGGTACTATGTAGTGGTGGTGGGTACTATGTAGTGGTGGTGGGTACTATGTAGTGGTGGTGGGTACTATGTAGTGATGGTGGGTACTATGTAGTGGTGGTGGGTACTATGTAGTGGTGGTGGGTACTATGTAGTGGTGGTGGGTACTATGTAGTGGTGGTGGGTACTATGTAGTGGTGGTGGGTACTATGTAGTGGTGGTGGGTACTATGTAGTGGTGGTGGGTACTATGTAGTGGTGGTGGGTACTATGTAGTGGTGGTGGGTCTATGTAGTGATGGTGGGTACTATGTAGTGGTGTGGGTACTATGTAGTGAATCATGTGCCCCATCCTGTGGATGCTCTGAGAAACTGGAGGTGGATCCCAAATGGTGCCCTATTCTCTATAGTGCACTATTTTCTCATCACATCTAACTACAGTATCTGGTAACATCATAACATCTAACTACAGTATCTGGTAGCCTCATAACATCTAACTACAGTATCTGGTAGCATCATAACATCTAAATACAGCAGACTGTATCTGGTAGCATCATAACATCTAAATACAGCAGACTGTATCTGGTAGCATCATAACATCTAACTACAGTATCTGGTAGCATCATAACATCTAACTACAGTATCTGGTAGCATCATAACATCTAACTACAGTATCTGGTAGCATCATAACATCTAACTACAGTAGACAATATCTGATAGTGTTGTCACGATACCAAAACTTTGACTTCGATACCGATACGAACTTAGTATCACGATACTTGATACCAAAACCACAGCAAAAAAAAAAGCTAATTAGCTAGTCACAGAATAACCACTACGCTTAATTTTTCTAAACATTGAACAACATGTTGATAACTGATAGACCCACTAAAATAACACATAGAATAACTTCTATATTTAGTTCTTAAAAAAATAAAACACCATGTTAAATAATAGAATAATATCTTAAATGTTCCTGATTCAAAACCACGAGACTCAGAGCATAGACAATAATTGTATAATTACATCTTAACTATTTTAAAATGTAATTTGATACATATGAGGGTTAATTTGCTCATCTATGGACATAATATTCGGTCAAATGACATGATATTTATTAGACCCATGATTCATTATTAATTCCAGCTAATTATACCATGGCATTGTTGAATACTCGTTTCTGATTGGCTTGAATGGCATTCTATAGCATGCATTATTTCACTATACTCAGAGTCGATATTCACTTAATAAAGAATTCCCCTCGACCACGCCCACAAATTGGGGAAAACAAACATTCTTTCCCATTGACCCCAATTGTAAAAGAGACAACTTCGTCATCGATTTTTGTCATACAGAAATAACAAAACATGCTGAAAAGATGTAACCAGATCAGAAATCCCGACCTACGGTTCGCAATGCTCCCACATATGGAAATAGAGCATGCGAGAAGAGCCCTGTGGCTTCAGGCTATTCGATGTGGGAGAGTGGGAGATGTGGGGACCCGGTGTCCAAGTAGGCTACACGAAGATACAATAAGACCACACTCAGAGAGCTGTATAAGGCCATAAGCAAACAGGAAAACGCTCATCCAGAGGCGGCGCTCCTAGTGGCCGGGGACTTTAATGCAGGGAAACTTAAATCCGTTTTACCTCATTTCTACCAGCATGTTACATGCTAGAGAAAACCCCCCCCCCCCAAAAAAAAAAAACTCTAGACCACCTTTACTCCACACACAGAGACGCGTAAAAAGCTCTCCCTCGCCCTCCATTTGGCAAATCTGACCATAATTATATCCTCCTGATTCCTGCTTACAAGCAAAAACTAAAGCAGGAAGTACCAGTGACTCGCTCAATAAAAAAAAAAAGTGGTCAGATGACACAGATGCTAAGCTACAGGACTGTTTTGCTAGCACAGACTGGAATATGTTCTGGGATTCTTCCGATGGCATTGAGGAGTACACCACATCAGTCACTGGCTTCATCAATGACGTCGTCCCCCACAGTGACCGTACGTACAGTGGGGAGAACAAGTATTTGATACACTGCCGATTTTGCAGGTTTTCCTACTTACAAAGCATGTAGAGGTCTGTCATTTTTATCATAGGTACACTTCAACTGTGAGAGACGGAATCTAAAACAAAAATCCAGAAAATCACATTGTATGATTTTTAAGTAATTAATTTGCATTTTATTGCATGACATAAGTATTTGATACATCAGAAAAGCAGAACTTAATATTTGGTACAGAAACCTTTGTTTGCAATTACAGAGATCATACGTTTCCTGTAGGTCTTGACCAGGTTTGCACACACTGCAGCAGGGATTTTGGCCCACTCCTCCATACAGACCATCTCCAGATCCTTCAGGTTTTGGGGCTG